ATCATCAGATGATCCTCAAGGTGGTTTGGGGAGCTATGGTTAAGAGAAAACTATCACGAGGGCTGGGAAGGTGGCTCAGTGGTAGAGTGCTTGCCTTGCATGCATGAGGCCCTGGGTTCGATTCCTCAGCACCACATAAGCAGAAAAAGCCAGAGTGGTGCTGTGGCTCAAGTGGTAGAGTGCTAGCCTTGAACTGAAGAGGTGAGGGACAGCGCCCAGACCCAGAGTTCAAGCCCCATGACTGACAAAAAAAAAAGAGAGAGAAAACTGTCATGATTTCAGACAAGCCACTAGAACACAGATTTCTCCACTCCTACACTAAAATTTCCCTTTGTGCTTCATATTACTCAGAAATAAGTAGTATTTCTGTTAATGCACAAACAAGAAGAGGTTCTACAGCACAGGTTCTGATTTATTTGATTCTGGCCTCAACTTGATGATACAAAGCCAAGTGAATAAGTGATCCCTATAGAGCAGAAACCCCATGACCTCAGTGCTCTCAGCACCATGTGCTACGCTACGACACTGAGCTAATGGTTAATTAAAACAAGAAACAACAAAACAAGAAGGTGTCTCTGAGGACTCAGCCCAGGGTATTCTCAGGCTGATTATCGACAGCCTTGGGGGGGACGGGGGAGGAAGACTGGGGAGGATGATAATGGACAAAGGGCAGACAGGTCAGAGGAAAACAGCATCAGGACTCAGTGCTTCTGTGAGAACCAGCCTAATCTGGAGTGAAGAGGACTTGTTTCAGGGGTTTAGAGAGCCACACTGGATGCTAGGGATGGAGGCATTCATCCACTGTTGCTGCAGATCCAAAGTCATCCTGGGAAGAACAGGCTCCTAACTGACCACAGTCTTGCCACAGAGGTCTCCCTATGGGTCTCTGGCTAAGAGAGACTGGACATTTATGCTCATTTGTCCTTTACCCCGTATCCCACCCATTCCCCCAGACTTGTTACAGCCCGAGTAGCAAAAAGGATGCAACTGAGGCAGCCCACCCTGACACCAAAGTATGCATGAGGGTTGCTGGGAGTGAACTGCCAGGTATGGTGAGTGAACTTCCAAAGGAAGACACAGATGTGGGAAGAACAGCTGTGCCCCCGGGGGGGGGGGGGGCAGGGGATGGATGAACATGCCTAAGAAATGGGGAGAGGGGAGGAAGTGGGGAGAGGAAGTGAGGGAGGAAGGTGATGGAAGAGATAAGGCAGAATAGATGAGGGGAAATAGTCTTTCTTGGAAATTCCTTTTATGTTTGGAGATTAAATGGCAGACTGGGGCTGAACAGGGAAGGTGGAGCAGGTGGAGCGATAAGAAAAGTGAAGTTCACAGAGATGCCAGGCCCAGGAATGTTCATAAAGGCAGATCATTCCAAATGACTTGTGGAATTCAGCAGACTCACATCACCTCAGGCCAATGGAGAGATGTTGCTATTAACAAAGTGAAAAGAGTAAAAGATAGGCTTTGCGTTGGAATAGCTGACAGCACAACAGGAATACATAGAAAGGGTCTTAAATGAATGTTGATTTCTAATGTGGGGTGTGTTGAGATCATCCATAGGAATGGTAGGATAGAGATGATGATTCCTTTGAAGGCTAGCAGTGTATCACAGGGTCTAATGAAGGCTAGCAGTATATCACAGGGTCTAATGAAGCTGGTAACTGACACATTCTAGCAAAGTTAAACTGCTTCCTGAAAGTGGGAAATGGGCAGGAAAGAGATACCACCACAGGTGCAAAGGCAAAGGGCTATGAAGAACCAGACTGATTTTGGAATTGGATTTGAAAAAGTCTTAGATGGGCTTGGAAGGTGGCTCAGTGGTAGAGCACTTGCCTTGCATGCATGAGGCCCTGGGTCAATTCCTCAGCACCACATAAGCAGAAAAAGCCAGAAGTGGCGCTGTGGCTCAAGTGATAGAGCGCTAGCCTTGAGCTGAAGAGCCCAGGGACCACACCCAGGCCTAGAGTTCAGGCCCCATGACTGACAAAAAAAGTCTTAGAATTCTAGAGATAAGTGATGCTACAACTGAATTTCATACTTTAGAAATAAATGACCATGTAGAGAGGTTTGCCAACCAAGCTTATGGCTAAGGGAAGATTCAAAATTATATGATATCTCTATAAATTTAACCCATGGCCAAAGGTCCTGGATGGTGGAATTTGGAGAACCTTCAACATTCAATGGTGACATTGTTTATCCCTAAATCTAAACTGCTTTTCTGGTTGATGGTTGGCTAGGACCTTCCTTCCCACATCCTTTAGAGCAGATGTGAATTCCATGAGCATCCTGGGTGAAGACAGGATGAAAACTGGGTGAAAACTTAGAAAAGAAAAACCCAGTGAAATGTCTTCCTTTTTTAAAACCATTGTAATTGCTATGGGCCATGGCTATTATTTTATTTATTTTAATTTTTTTTATTGTAAAAATACTTTACAGAGGGGTTACAGTTACATGAGTAAGGCAATGAGTACATTTCCTATCAAGCATTGTTACCTCCTCCTTTGTTTTTCCCCTACCATCCCCTCCTTCCCCACCTCCCCAACTACACTCCCTCCTCACCCCTCCACCCTCCCTCCACCTAAATTGTAAAGTTTGTTTTTCAACATAGTGTCTCATACATCTCATTGTTACAATGGGTCAACCTGTATCCCTATTTAAGCATTTTGTTTTTTTCCCTTCCCCTCCCCAAATTAGAGAAGTGTATACACAAGATGCAGGGCACTGTCATCAAATACAGTGAAAACAGGGGTTATACCATGGGGCGGGAACATACAAAGAAACAAAAAATCACAGGGTACATAATTGTCCCCCTACACAGAACACTGCAGTGTTTTTCTTTGCCTCTTTATGCATGTGAGAGACTGTCTAATAGATGATTCAGGAACTAGAATTGCCAAAACAAATCAATTTACTTCATTAGATTCCACCAAATTGCTCCTGAGGGACTACACAATTTCATAATCTTGACAGCTTGGATTCAAGGTAGTCAGTTAATATCTGTTCCAGCAGATAGTTTTATCAAAGTTTTCATTTAATGCCACTTTGAATTACAAAGTCTGTTTGATATTTGAAAACACATATTCTGCTTGTAACCACTGAAACTAATTTTATTATCCAGTTGTTACTGTTTGTATTTGTTTTATATGCATCATTGTTCACATAGGGGAAGATTGTATTTTAAATTTCTTCTAATTAATTGTAGCTCTCTAAATGTTCCAAATTCTACACTTTTTGTCAGTAACCTGAGCTTCAAATATTTTCCTATTATGGAGATTTCTATCCTATCATCTCCTTTATTGTTAATATATTTTATTACCTTTAAGTGGTTGTACAAAGGAGTTGTGGTCAACAAAGCAGTTTATGAATACATCTTAAATGATGTTACTCCTCTCATCATTCTTCACCATCTCCCCCAGCCCCTCTGCTCCCTTCATTTTTTAAATTCTGTAAGATATGCATTGAACTTTATGACTGAATTCTCCCCTGTTTCCCTTCATGCATCTATCCTATCTTCTTTATTTTAACTGTACTTAAGCTAGCCATATTCCATAGTTTTAACTTAGCATTGTCACATTAATTGATATTTTTAACTTATGGCTTCGTTTCAAGCAGCCTGTTTTTGGCCTGTTATTATGAAGTTTCTTGATTTTTTTTTTTTTAAACCAGGGCTGAGAACCAAACCCACGGCCTTGCGTGCGCCAGGCGGGCGCCCTTCCGCTGGGCTAAACCCCCAGCCCCTCTTGATTTTTTTTAATCAAAATTTTAGGTTAAGCTTCTGGATTCCAATGAAATGACATGCTGACCTTTTGTTATGGACCTTTTGAACATGGAAGATTCATTTGGGTATACTTTATACCTTATCTGTATCAAAATCTTCCGATCTATAAGTGAAGAATATCTACACTTTTTCTAAGTCCTTGACATTGTTTTATAATTTTTAGGATATGATTTGTGCACTATCTGTATACATTCTCTTGTTCTTTTTATTTTTTTTATTGTGAAAATACTGTACAGAAGGGTTACAATTACATGGGCAAGGTAATGAGTGCATTTCTTATCAAGCATTGTTGCCTCCTCCTTTGTTTCCCCTTCCCAGCCCTTCTCAATTCCTGCCCCTCCTCCCCCGCCAACGTTGTAAAGTTCATTTCTGGACATAACATCTTGTACATCTCATTGTTGCAATGGGTCCACCTGTATCCCTATTTAAACTATTTGTTTTTCCCTTCCCCTCCACAAATTATACCAACATCAAATAATTTTTTTTCTTTCTTGCTATTGTTCTTTTTATTTATAATGGTATCATGAATACGTTATTTTCTCAATTTTCTTTTCTCATTTCATATTCCTATTGTATTATGGATATCCAATTTATGTTTATAGGTAGGATTATTTTATCCTATGGCCTTACTAATGCCTTGATTAGTTTTATCAGGTTTTTAAACAGGATTTTCTACATAAAGTTTTATGTCCTATATTCATAGAGATTATTTCTCCTTCCCAGAGTAGAAGCTTACATTTCTTTCTTTAAAGCATTACCTAGAGCCTTTAGTATGATTCAGAATAAAAAAAATAGGAAGAGTTGTACCTTTTCTTAAATTTCAAGCCCTAGAGAGGAACCAGATTTTTATAGATAAGCATCCCTGATTCACTGTAGCTTTCTCTCTTTGTCACACTGAGAAAATTCCTCTCTAGTCTGGAAATAGATACTAGGCATACATTGTTTAGTTGGGATGGGTGGTTTATTTGCTTGCCTAGTTATTTTGAGAGAGTCTCCCATGTAGCCAAGGCTGCCCTTAGACTCCCAATCCTCCTGCCTCCACATCCCAATTACTGAGAGTCCATAGTATAGCCTGTGCTACCACGCTTGGCTTGGGTATCTGTTTGTGTAGGACAGGAAAGTGGAGATGCAGCCTACTGTGGAAAGCATTATACCAATGTGTTATGAAATTAAGTAAATCTTGGCAATTCACTTTTTAGTTTTCAAAGTGTGACCCTGAACGATGTCAACACTCTCCACCCAGACAGCCTCCAACATCAGCACTCCAATGGCTCCTACCTTCCTGCTGGTGGGCTTGCCTGGCTTGTCGGCTGCACCATCCTGGTGGACAATACCTCTCATCACTGTCTACCTTATCTCTGCGGTGGGCAATGGTACTGTCCTCTGGATCATTGTCCTGGAGCCCACGCTGCACCGTCCAATGTACTTCTTCCTCTTCCTGCTTAGCCTGTCTGATGTTGGCTTGGCCTCAGTCCTGATGCCCACCTTGCTGGGCTTGGCTTTTGCTGATGCTCGTGCTATCCCTGCCTCCACCTGCCTCTTGCAGATGTTCTTTGTCCATGTCTTTTCTGTCATGGAATCCTCAGTCTTGCTTGCCATGGCCTTTGATAGGGCACTGGCTATCTGCCGCCCTCTCCAATACCCGTCACTCCTCACCAACGGGGTCACTAGCAAGATCGGCCTAGCCATTCTTTTTCGATGCCTGGGTCTCCATCTGCCCCTGCCATTCCTCCTGGCCCACATGCCCTACTGCCACTCACAGGTCCTGACCCATTCTTACTGCCTACACCCAGATATAGCCCGCCTAGCCTGCCCAGGAGCTTGGGGTACAGTTTACAGCTTAGTTGTAGTCCTGTCGGCCATGGCATTAGACCCACTGCTTATTTTCTTCTCCTATGGCCTGATTGTCAGAGTGCTGCAAGGTGTGGGGTCCAGGGAGGATCGCTGGAAGGCTGGTCAAACTTGTGCTGCCCACCTGTCTGCTGTGCTTCTCTTCTATGTGCCTATGGTTCTCTTGGCACTCATTAACCGGCTCAAATTGCCCCTCCCTCAGCCTGCCCATACGCTTCTCTCTTATATTCACTTCCTGCTTCCTCCACTGTTAAATCCTATTCTATACAGTGTCAAGATGAAGGAGATTAGAGAGAGGATACTCAAGAGGATGCAGCCCGGGAAGGTTGGCTGTGCTCCGTGAGTGAGATTGTCCTTACACGTTTGCTTGGAGAAGGCTCCCCATGCCAAAGCTTCCACCACTGAGAATTGTTTGCCATGCAGGAAATAGCCATTTAGGTAAACAAGTGCCTATGCATGATTGTAGCTGCCTCTCCCTAGAAGTGTGCCTGTGGTGGGGTTAAGAAAGCTGAAGAAAATAGATGCAAGCCATCCATAGTTGTACTCTATATGCCCGTGCATGGGAAGACTCTCGGTCTTGCCACATCGCTCCATGTGCAGGGCTATTGTTATTCTCTGGCTGTTAAGTCACTCGCTCTATCTCTGCCTGCATAACTGAGAAAAGGGGGAAGTATCGGACAGAAGGCACAGCAGAAGAAGACAGAAGCATCCTGCCCAGCTGGATGGAGGGCTTTCCACTTGTGTTGCACCCTGATAAGAAATAAGATTCTGAATGACCCAAAGGAATTACGTGAAAGACAATGCAGTGAATCTTTCATTTAAGCATTTCCCTCTGAGAGACAGGACAGGGAACTCAGCAATAACAAATAGAGGAAGACAACTGGTTATTTCGATTCTTTTGTTTTTAAATTTTTGAATATAAGGCATGTTTGTTGTTACAATTCTGCATAATTAAATATATTATATACAAAAAATAGTCTCAATTCTTTATTTCCTGGTAGTGGCCACATCAGTGAGGGTGGGATGAGAACAATAAGCTTATTTTCATTTTGTCTTTGAGTTTGGGCACAAGACTTTTTCTGTTCAATTTTGTCCTCATGTCCTGTTTGGGCAAATAAGAGTCTAGGATATGGCACTGTGGCCCCAAGTGGTAGAGTGCTAGCCTTGAGCAAAAGAGCTCAAGGACAATGCCCAGGCCCTGAGTTCAAGCCCATGACCAACAAAAAAAAAGTAAAGATCTGACATTTTGCTGGGCTGTGTGCTTGCCTAGCAAGTACTACATCCTTGGTTCAATCCTCAGTACAAAATAGAAGGAAAGAAAGAAAGAAAGAAAGAAAGAAAGAAAGAAAGAAAGAAAGAAAGAAAGAAAGAAAGAAAGAAAGAAAGAAAGAAAGAAAGAAAGAAAGAAGAAGGAAGGAAGGAAGGAAGGAAGGAAGGAAGGAAGGAAGAAAGAAAGGAAGAAAGAAAGGAAGAAAGAAAGAAAGAAAGAAAGAGAGAGAGAGAGAGAGAGAAAGAGAGGGAGGGAGGGAGGGAGGGAAGGAAGAAGGGAAGGAGGGAAGAAAGGAAGGAAGGAAGGAAGGAAGGAAGAAAGAAAGAAAGGAGAGGTTTATATGTACAGTGTGAAGTTATTTCTTTTTCCTCTCATTTTTTTCCTTTGGTTTATCTCCTGTTATCACTGTTTTAGATTTTGGTACACTGTGTCTTGTATATATACTTATCTGATTTGGAGAGGGAAAGAGAAATAACAAAATGATGACAGTTTTCTGGATCTTTACTTAGGAAGTTTTGACTCATGCCAAGGAGCCCTAGTGTTTCCCTTATCCCTTCCTGTAATATTTTCAGAGTATCAGAGTATCTGGTCTTACATTAAGGTCTTTGATCCATCTGGAGTTGATTCGGGTGCAATATGATATATAAAGTTCTGACTTCAGTTTTCTGCATGTGTATAGCCAATTCTGACAGTACCACTTCTAGAAGAGGCTGTCTTTCTTCTGTTTTTTGCTCCCTTATCAAATATTATGTTGGTATGGGTCTATGGGTTCATTTCTGTGTCTTCAATTCTATTCCATTGGTCCTCAGGCTTAGTCTTATGCCAGTACCAAAGCTGTTATTATTACTACGGCCTTATAATAGTTTCAAGTTTGGTATTGATATTCCCCCGCACTGTTCCTGTTAATTTTATACCCTGCTACTTTATCAAAGCTCCAGATCAGCTCAAGTAACTTGGAAAAGGAATCTATGGGGTTTTTTTAAATACAGGATCATGTCATCTACAAAGGGGGAGAGTTTTACATCTTCTTTCCCTATTTGGATTTCCTTTATGTTTGACTCTTACCTTATTGATCTAGCTAGGAATTCCAGTACTATATTGAAGAGGAGTGGAGAGAGTGGACATCTTTGTGCCATTCCTTCCCTTGCCCACTCTGTACCAGTCCCAGGCTCTGTGCTTTCTTGCTTAAGGCTAGCACTCTATCACTTGAACCACTACACTTCTGGGTTTCAGGTAGTGAATTAGAGATACCAATCTCAAAGGACTTTCCTACCTGGGCTGGCTTTGAACCACAATCCTCAGATCTTAGTCCCCTGAGTAGCTAGGATTACAGGTATGAACCACTGGTGCCAGACCCAAGGGAAGATTCTTTGTCGCTCAACCAAACTTCTAAAGTCCCTGAAATGCTAACTTCTTACTTTGAAATGTGAAGAAGAGAAAATGTAGAGTTAAATCCAGGTGATAACTACCCTGACTTACAGCAGCAGAACTGGCAGGACTCATCCTGGACTTCATTGCCTATTAAATGGTAAGACAACTTAAATTTTTCTTTGTTCCAGAATCTTCTAGAATTCTCAATATTTATTACACCCTCTTTGGCCACTCATTTACTCGCTTTTAAACTATTCTTCTAATACAAATTTTCACACATCTACCTAGAACACTATGGGCAGGTTACTTTTATGGCAAGGGGTTTAAAGTTGAATAATACACAGTGATAGCCCTATGGGAATTCACAACCTAGTGGGTGTGAGAGAAACATGTGTACTGTTGGCAATATAAAGGGGCCGTTGACAACCGAGCCAGGAGAATGAAGCCTTATCTGTGCTATAATGTTGCCAAAAGCCAACGCCCTTCTATAATTTCTTCCTCCCAAATTGACTTCACCAAGGATGGAATTGAACAAATGTTAAGAGCTTTTCTGTCTCCCTTTTCACACAGCCCTGGGACGGATTCCTCAAACACAAATGCCTGTGACAATTGCCTGGGATTTTGTTGGAATGCAGATTGACTCAGAAGCTTGCAGCAGAAAACTGGGAGTCAACAATTTTGCTAGCTTTCTTGATGATTGCCACTGCTGCTCAGTGAGTCACACTTTGAGTGGTAGAGTAGAGAATGGACGCAGACAAACTCAGACATGTAGAGTTTAATGAAAATCACAATGAGGAGTACAATAAAGAGTCCAATATAGAGATGTTAAGTGCTTTTGGAATCTTACAGGCTTCTCTCTGTGACAGTCTTCTGTAGAATGTTTTCGATATTCTTGCTCTTCATTATTTTACCTGAGAATGGAATGTCTTCAATCATCCAAAAAACAATGAAGAATTCATATAACCTTTATGACATAGATAGCCTCTTCTTTTTGAGTACCAGAACAATTTAAAAAGATAGGGTTGATTGACTGAAGTTAAAAACTGAAATAATGGAACAATCTCTTTTAGAAGCAACATTATCTTGCTCTCAACATAGTTTACGACAGGGAAAATGGAGTGTTTCCCTTTGTCTCTTCAGGCCCAGTTTTTCCAAGACTTTCTCTCTAATCTGCCGAGTTTTTACACAGTATACAATCGGATTCATCAAGGGTGGTACCAACAAGAAAGCATCTGCTATAAGAATCATAGCTAAAGGGGACTTATGCTTAGCAAAGCGATGCATGACAGCCAGGGTGATGATGGGCACATAGAAGATGAGCACAGCACAGATGTGGGAGACGCAGGTGTTAAGAGCTTTGAGTTGCTCCCCATGGGATGCAATACCTAACACAGTCTTTAGGATGAACACATAGGAGACCACAATGAACATACTATCTGACATCATACAGAGTGCGACAAACAGCCCATAGTAAAAGTTAACCCTGTTGTCAGAGCAGGCCAGCTTCATAACATCCTGGTGGAGGCAGTAGGAATGAGATAATAGTTGCTTATGACAGTATCTGAGTCTCTTTAAAGTAAAAGGAAGGGGAAGCACTAGGAGAATGCTTTTAACAGCAAATACCAGTCCAATATGCCCAACTCTAGAGCTGGTGAGAATGGAGCTGTATCTCAGAGGGTAACGAATGGCGACAAATCGATCGAAGGACATAATCAGAAGAACCGAAGACTCCATATCTGTGAATCCATGGATGAAGAATTCCTGGGCAATGCATGCATCCGCAGAAATCTCAGTTGAATTGAATAAGAAGATTCTTAGCATAGTAGGAATGGAGGAGAAAGACAAACCCAGGTCAGAGAGAGCTAGCATGGAAAGGAAATAGTACATGGGCTCCTTCAGGGAAGGCTCTGTGCTGATGACACAGAGGATGGTGCAGTTACCCAGAATGGCCATTACATAGATGAGGCAGAGAGGGATGGAGATCCAAATGTGCATATATTCAAGACCTGGGATCCCAATCAACAGAAATGAGGAGACTTCGACCTTCGAGGTATTGAGAAGAAGCATCATAAATAGGTCTTTCGTTTAGCCACTTCCAGATCTACAATGACACCAACAATAAACCAAAAAAAATGCTTTTGAGTTGTAGTCACCACACAGAACTAAGTTTACTTAAGGGTTAATAGCTCCAACTTATAGGACAGGAAAGCCAGGCATTATAGTGCACACCTATAATCTCAGCACTTGGGAGTCTAAGGCAGAGGGATCACAGTTTTGAAGCCAGTCTGCACTACATAGTGAGTTTAAATCCAGTCTGGGTTATATAATGGCATACTATCTGAAAATTAACAAAACAAACAAGAGGCAAGAAATAATATACTCCTATTTTTTCTTTTTTCTTTTTTCTTTTTTTTTGTCAGTCATAGGGCTTGAACTCTGGGCTTGGGCACTGTCCCTGCGCTCTTCAGCTCAAGGCAAGTGCTCTACCACTTGAGCCACAGTGCCACTTCCAGTTTTCTAGTGGTTTTTATTGGATTAAGAGTCTCATGGACTTTCCTGCCCGGGCTGGCTTTGAACCTCAATCTTCAGATCTCAGCCTCCTGAGTAGCTAGGATTATAGGCATGAGCCACCGGCACCAGCTTACTCCTATTTTTTCTATACAAAGAAAATGTGCTGTGCATTTAAACAGGCTCTTCATAGT